ATGACTATATTCATCACTTTGAATTCCCAAATAAAGCGTGTTGCGGGTCAAACTGTTTCTAGGCAATCAATATTGTTTTATTAAGAATATTAAGAGAGAAAAAACGTAAGCTGTGTGAATGGATTTAAACTACTGCTGAAGATAGAAAACTAAAACGGCAGTGTCAACGGAAAAATAGATGGGTGCACGCTCTCTGCATAAATGGAAACGATGGCTTTGTTTATTTGGCCGATGTCGACAAGCAACAGATTTCCTGTACTCACTTCCTCGGTCTCACGTATCGGTGTCGTCATCGGTTAAGTAGTTGAAACTCTTTCGCGTTGATGCGAATATTTCAGCCTACTCGTCCCTTTCGAACCACTCGTGAGGTTGGTCATAATATGACCTAGACGTGCTTGCAATCTGTTGTGATTCCAATGAAAAAATCTTGAAAAATAAATAAAAATTGCGTAAACGAGGGGTGAACGCGAAAGTCCTTTAATTTTTCATCGGAATCACAACAGGCTGCAGGCAAGTCTAAATTAGTAAATATGACCCTGAGTTGCAGATTTTTCTTTGCCTCGTCTGTCATTGGCGCCTTTGCTTTCTTTCTTTTCATCGTCATTGCGTTTGTAATTAAGATGGTGTTATTAAAATAGAATATAGACTTAGAAAATAAAACGATTTCTCAGATAAATATGCATTGTTTGCGACAGGAAGCTTGTCACCCGTTCTATCAGAATCGTCAACAACAGAGTATTACCGGTAGTATACATATACATGTTGTAAACATTTTGCAAATATTAACGAAACGGTAGTAGCGTTAGCGTTTGAGCACTAGTCTTTCCGAAATTTCGAAAAGCTGGCATGGTGAATCAAGGTACAAAGTAACCGTTTTATCAGTTATTGAAAAATCAAGAAAAAAAAAGAAAATTGCCCTTCCCCCTACATTAAGATCAATATGGACCACCAAAATTTGGCGTTCATTTAAAAAAATAAACCATAATTTTCAGTAATACTGACTTCGAAAATTATGATACAAAAATAATTACATTCGTACCACAAACCAACGCCGCTTTTGTTTACTTTTCACAACTGTTACAAAGTATTTCATTTCTGGTAGTTAAAATACCAGCTAATCGATCGTAGACCACAAGTTTCACTGCATGCAAATTATTTTCCTTGATGCACTCAACAAAGTCAAAGCAGACATACAACATTGAAGCTGCCGCCTATGCTAATGAGCATAGTCGTCGGGACGAAACCTTACAACTCCAAGATGGCGATGGCGATAACATTACATTGTAAATAGGCAGTCAACACCAACGTGCACATTACACTATTTAACTTTTCTAGCCAGCGGTGTGATGTGTCTAATCACCGTAAACCATGTGTCATTTGTTTGGTCCCACAATTTGTCTTCCATGTGCTTGCCGATCTCCGAACAGTGCGACATGTCGCCGGTACATAGTGTTTACACACTTTTTTTTATCGTATCATTTTTAACATTTAAAACTTATTTTTTGCAAGGCATGCGTTGAGCAATGACCATTGGGATTCGCGCTTTTCGACCAACGAACCAATAGGAATCATGCTCTTCGCAAAGTGACACTGCGATCCTGTCGCAGAGTGCAATAATCGACATTCGGCGAGTCGCACAATCACATCGCAGAGTTAGTTTTTAGGCCCCCATACATACATGCTATCAGACCCTACACCCAGTCCGTGTACTATATCTTACCTATCAGACCCTGCCGCCAGTTTGTTATTCTGTACAATCGAATCCTGTACGTATTCTTCCAACATCTTTATGTGACTGTCGCTGAAATATACATCAGAATATACTACACATATTAATAAAAGGAATATATTAATATTATATATTTTGTGAATTTGTGATGAAAAGAGGGAACTGGTGGTGACACATACATACAAATACAAAAAAACTTTCATTATGTACCTTCTCACCGATGTAATACATATAATTCGACCCCTATTCTTAATTAGGCTGGCATCTTCCATCATAGATGTACGCAATTCGTGTTGTTTTTCACTGCATTCGCATAGAACCTCAACAGCCATAGACAAACCATGCATCACACTGCACTCCGTGATGTCATCATTTTCATTAGGGGCACCTAACCTTGATAGTCCCTGTGTCAGCTACAAATCACATAATTACAATTCAGTTAAATACAATTAACCATTTTACATGGTAATTTCCTGGTGAACTAATTGACAAGCCAATCCAGGGAGGTTATATGTGTTTCAAACAGATATAATAACAAGGTAGAAATGTAGTATCATAAGCATAGTAAAGCCAACATACTGGGAACTGTTGATATAGTGAAATGATATATACCCAGACATATCTATAATTCATTAACAGAAAATGAATATGTAGATACATGTACATTAGGCAAAAAAATGATTTTGTTTTTGAAAAATGATGAGGCCAGGCAGTTTTAATATTTTTTGTATTAAGATTATTCAATACCACAACAACAAGATATATGTTTAACATTTAACATTTATTATTAAATGCTTTCAAATACATTCATTAATGGTTATTTATCAACACAAAACATCTTTTGGAACAGAAAAATACTTGTGATAACAATAATACATGCGAGGTGCATGATGTAAACTGAAGCATGCAATGAAGAGAAACAATACCTTTTTTTAAGCCTTTCTTGTGTTATGCTTTGTTCATCTTGGCCTTACCTGTGTTATGCTTTGTTCATCTTGGCTTTACCTGTGTTATGTTTTGTTCATCTTGGCCTTACCTGTGTTATGCTTTGTTCATCTTGGCTTTACCTGTGTTATGTTTTGTTCATCTTGGCCTTACCTGTGTTATGCTTTGTTCATC